ATGATGACAGCCGAGGTGTAAGCCGTGGATGCTCCAGTGAGTTCCAGCAGTTTGCTCTTTCTCATGAAGCTCGTAAAGGCCAGCCAAGGCAATATTGCAAAAATGGTGGTAAGTAGAGCTTGATGTGTTGTCAATGCGACCAGATAGCCATATACTGTTCCCAGGGCTGTACCTTGGAGCCTCAGGCTGGTGCTCTTGAACGTTCCGGTGCGATGGTTGAAAAGGCCCAATGCTACTGTGATAGTCGACCAGTACCCATAGTCCTTCCTGTACAGCACTCCCAGGTACACAGCTATGACCATTGATAGTGCGATCTTAAACGCCTCAATGACCATTTTTTTATTCGCTGCCAGATTCAATGATCTCCTCGTTGCTGCGACTAAGTTACTTGGAGTGGTGTTTGATGAGTGAACTGGGAGAGCTGATCCGCTTGAAATTGCTGCTGCTTTGCAACCGTGGTGGCAAGCAGGATGTGACAAAGCAACAGGAACTTGGCCGGCCATCAGAATCTTGATCTCCTCCTCGACAAACTTTTTGACAGTGAACAGGAAAAACATCCGTCGAAATTCCTCATCCGGTGTACAGTCTGAGCGGTTCCAAGTAGCCGCGGCATAATCATGAAGAGTCAGCAGAGCTTCGCGAACTTCCTCAATCCGGACTTGCTTCTCGGCCTGGATTTGAGATTTTGGAAAACTAGAGACTGTACCTGACAGAAAAGAGTTGCTCCAGCTCCCGAGTTTCTCCAAGGAGTTCCTCGTCATATCTTGAACCGGCTTCGAAACAGCTGCACCTTGCTGAATCGCGATGTTCATCCCAATCAGGTACTGATTCATGTTGGTTATCATTCGGCTCACGTTTTCACCTTGACTCCTTGCTTGAACCAAAACCCCAGGCTCCCAAGCTATTTCAACCTGTATGTAGCACACACTGTCAGTATGAGAGAGTTTCCTTCTCTGAGGTACGTTACTTTTCTTCTCTGTATCTCCGAGTACGCTTTCAAAGCAGCTCGCTGCACTGATTTGGATTGCAGGCACAAACTCGTGATCTCTTCTTGGTCGTTACTGCAGAATGCATGGACAAGGACAGCAAAGTTTTCCATCGCGAGCTTGGCGAAGAGCTTCGTGTTATATTGCACCTGTGAAGCAGAAGAACAAACGTAAGCGCAGAGGTTATGAAGCTTGGAAGTGTTGGGACCGAAAGGAAGGCTTCCTAGGTGGATCAAAGGCTTTTGGACGGAATCGTGACGGAAAGTGGCATGCCGGCTTAGTGTTCCTACAAGACACGGCTTGCGGAGAGAATGGAGGAACCAAAAACTTTAAAGGGGGGTGAATGACTCAAAGTAAAGCGAATGGTACCTGATAAGCTGAGAGGCGTGGCACGGGGAATATCAAGGCAATTATCGCAGACACAGTGCCGAGCGTGGTGGTGAGCGTCAACTTGAGCGGAAAGAAGACCGGATGAGTCAGGGGATTGTTGTACGCATTCACGTAGACGATGGTGGTGATAGCCAGCGCGAGCCTCTTCTTCACTGGCTTTTGGTTCGGGAGATAGCTCCACAGGAAGCTCTTGACGAAGATACAAGTGAGGCACACGCCGAGCGAGAAGTTCTTCGTTCCTGGAGGAATGGAGAGGCAAAAACCAAGACGATGATCAGCTCCCAGGTGTTTTCCCTTTTGTTAAACTCGAGAGAAACCACTGACTCACCTATGATCAACAGCACCACCATCGAGAATGCAGCAGCCTGGAGAGTTCCATACATGACAAAGGCAGCATCTTCGAGAGCTTTGCCGAGTGCCGACTCGCTGAGCACGAGAACTGTGACAACGTATCCAAAGACAGGGAATTCAACAAAACGGCTGGCTTTGGACACACCAAGCAAGACAAGTAAGCATGCAATTCCAGTTCTTAGAGCGGATAGCAGCCGTGACAGCCACGGGACGCTGTCGGAAGCTAACGCGTCCATCTTTTCACTAGCAATCTTCTCTTCTCTTTGAGAGTGTGTGTAGGAGGTCCAACTTGCGGAGTGTGAGCTCTTTAAATAAGTGGGATGGAGCAAAAGCTTAAAAATGGTGGAGGAATGTTTCTCTGTGGTGACGAACCAAGCGCTCTCTCAGAAAGAACTTCTCACGAGAACTTGGTGTGGAAAGCTGGACAGATATTCCCCCACTGGAATCATCCTGATCATCGGATTCCAATTTGGACACAAGGAGGGATTCTTCTTTAGGAGCCTGATGATGAAATGAAATGCGTGGAACTTAAGACACTATCATCAGGGTGGTGTATTAGCTGAGGTTTTTTTATGTTGTTAATCCTAAGTGGTGCTTAAAACAGGATTAAAACATGTTAATACCAAGTTTTTGATATTGGAGAGAGAATCTAAAGTGCAATGGACGAACGAAGAAACAATCAAAATGTTTCAATTTGGAGAACAAAGCAGTAGTGTGGATTTCTTGCTCCTTCCCCCCTAAAACATTCGATTCCACCCCACGACATATCAATTAATATTCTACTTTGTAGCAAAAAAAAGTAGAACCACACCAATCAGCCACACAAGTTGGTACACGGATCGCTTTAGAATATTCGAATTCTCGGGTATGATTTAACCACGCCACTACCACCACCGTGTTTGCAGCGCGTTGTGAATAGTTTTTCACCCCTCCCTCCTCTCTCTTATCAAGGTCTCAAAAAAACTTTTTAAAACACGAAGCCACGTACCCCTTTGTCTCGCACCGAGGTGTAAAAGGAGCATTTGGCTGTGGCACTCCTCTTCGATAAATCGATTGATAGGTCCAAATTTAGCGATAATGTTTCTTTCTCGGATTCTCCATCGCCGTGTTCTTGCTAATTGGTTGATTTGTTTTCCTCGTTGTTTGTCCAAAGCAATGAGTTATCAAACGAGGGATTGACCGATGGAGCTAGGGAAGATCATCAGGGCGGCCAGTCTTCCCATCACGAACAAAGCTCCTCGCAGGGAAGCGATCCTCTGGTGATAACTTTCCGGATCTTCAATGTTATCACCGCCATTGCAGCATGGCTTTGTACCGCAGTTAACATCATCCCAAACATGAGTTTGCTCTTTTTTCGCGATGAGCTTTCTCTCCTTCTTTTGCAGATCTTTCAAAGCATTCTATGCTGCTATGCAGCGATCATTGCTTTGTTCGCAACAAAATTAGGTGTTCCTGTCATGTGAACAATAATTGAATTAAATACAAATAATTTTAGTCTACAATTAGAGTAGAAATAGTTTCTAGTATATATGGTTGAGCTACCTTTTGGAATAAAATTAAATATTCAATTTAGTTATAATAAAAATAGCATTTTAACCAGACTTAACATGGGATATCTGCAATGGCTTAAGCACCATTGCTTTAAGTCATCCATGGCTTTGTTGTTGTCTCCGCTCAATTGTCATGCTACTAACATCAGGGAAGCAGGTTCTCTTAAATTTGTGGCATGTTTATTCTAAAAAAAATGAAAAAGCGTTTAGAAGAGAATAAAACATCTTACTGGAATTAGAGTCCAAACCTAAGGACAGAAAAGAGAAAAAAAGGTTAATTTGCTGGAATTGAAAAATTATAATCAAAAAGCTTTTATCAATCATGCCAAGCCATCCATTGTTGAGCTGCTCTTGTGGGTGAATGTTCTTGATCCTACAATGCACAACTTAGCCTAGCCATGAGGCAATTGAGCATGCACAACCAGCCATGGCAGCTATGGCACTGGAAGCCTAGCCATGGCAGCCTACCACGCCTCCACACCACTGGCCATCGCCTAGTAGCCAATAGCAGCCACAACACTAGAGCTTGCTCAACCTAGCCATAGCAGCGATGGCGCTCAAGGCTGCCTGCACTAGGCCATGGTGCTAGAAGCCTGCAAAGCCATTACAAGACCACTGAAAATTTTAGAAATACCTTTTATATTATATATAAATAAATTTGAAATTTAATAATGTTAGACGCACATTAACTATAAATATTCTATGTGTTTAAAAATTATTTCCTGTTAAATTTGATATTATATTAAGGCGATTATAAGCCAACCTATTATCTATATTTTAAAATAGGTTAGTGCTTAATATAGTTATTTATCATATTGTGTCTCAGTTTTGTAATAGTGCTTGAGAGAATAAAATATGATCTATATTAAAGATTCTAGTTATGCATTATATTTAATATACTTATAACTATGGCAATTAATATGTGATTTCACATTGGTCCATATTTTATTTACAAACATATGGATATATTTTTTGTTTTCAACAATCACATTTTAATTGTTATAATAGCAATCAAAACATGATTGTGTTGGCATGGGGAATGCCACATATGAATCCAATTCATGCCAGCCTGGATTGCCCATGACATGTAGATACACCCAAAATTGCCACATGTTTGGGTGGCAAAATAGTTCAAAAATAGCTCTTAATGCAAGTCTTGATCACTTAGTTTCAATCTCTCCATTACATTTGTTGGTCTAAGAAGATTGATACCTTGGACCAGGCTATAACATGCTCCTATTGCTACCAAAGAAGCTAGATCATTTGTAATTCTCGAGGACTTTAATGCATTTCAATGGAATCCCTTTTATGTGTGGGATTAATGTCACACGCTCTTCTTGAAAGCCCACATAAAATACTTAGCATTCATAACAAATTTATAGTCATTAGTGTGCATGAAGTTTTCCTTGTATATCGGGAGAAGGCTTTGGCCAATGTTAACATTATATATCTTTGCCATGATCACAAAGTCTAACTTTATATTGTTATTTGTTGAGATTTTTGATCTTCTTCCAAGTCAGATTGTAAAGTGAGAGAAAATTCACCCCAATCATACTAAGTACTTTAAGATTGATAATTTTTTAGTGATGTTGCATGTTTGTGTGCCCCATTTTCCCATTTCCTTTTCTTAATGCTAGGGATAGAGATTCCACCTTTACTCCAAATTTGATTAGGTGTTAGGTGATTTGGGTTTAAATCTTTAACTTGAAATTTCTATTTCTTGTTGTTGTTTTTTTTATAGAACTCATTTTTTCTTGATTTTATGCACATTTGTTAATAAATCTTAGTAGATTATAATGTCTAGATGTCTTTTCTTGGTTTAGTGAACTTAAAGTTTAAGAATTTTTATTGAGTTGAATTTTCAAGATTGATTTTCGAGAATCTTCTTAGAGTTGTCTTTTTGTATCTAAACTTTCAAGTTTTGTATTTGAAGTCCTTGGATTATTGAGCCTCATGCTCATAATTTTCTTCAATGTTATCCCCATATACTTTATATTGAATTTTGTTAACATCTAGCAAATTGCCAATTGTCTTATCTTTATACTATGGTAAATGATTTCAACATATTGTGCACTTTTTGGTATGTTGAGAGATTCCAAAGTTGTGGAAGAAATGAATTGCACAAGGGGTGGATGCACATACCTTCTTATATTAATATTTAATCAATCTTCCATTCTTTTTTACAATGAACTACTATTGATAGAGATATACTAGTATATTTTTCAAATCAATAGTTGAGATAACTATTTTTAAAATTCAACTAATTATAAAGTACAAATTATATTATAAGTTCTCCATGTAAACTATAACTAGTGATAATATTTTTGTAGATAGACTTTGTTGTGTTCTTTGAAGTTCCAAGCAAAACAAATATATGCTCATAATCACTAACTAAATGATAAAATGGGTTGAAGTTCAATCAATTGTAATTAATTTTATAAAGTCAAGTTTCCATCATTGAAGTGGTTCAAGAGGAGTTATAGGATGAAGTTTTTAAATCTGCTTTTTCAGTGTATATTTGGTTCTTTAATAAATGTCACATTCTTGAAAAAAATTTGTTAAAAAAAAGGCCTTAAGTCTTTCTTGTAAAATCTTTCAAGCTATGATTTCTTTTGCAAAATATCCTCTTGTTTATTTACAATGCACTTTTTCAAGTAAATCTCGGATTTCTTCAAATTATACACATCTTTATAGTGCATTTTCTCATCCTAACTTATATAATTTTCCTGGTTTTGTCCTTAAAACAAATTGTTTACATTTGTACTGGCTTAGTACAATATCGAAGGCCACATCTAAACTTTGATACTGTTACTGAGGGCTTGCAATTCCAACACCACCTCATCCATCATCCAAGCCTCCACATATTGATTAGCATCTAACACTGTGGAATCCATTGCAGCAAGTTTATAAATTCTTGAACTCTATCATTTAATACCAATTGTTAAAACTTAGAGAAGAATTATTACACTGATGCAAAGTAAATTGCCACCCAGCCCCAAGCCCTCTGCATCACTACTCACTCCACCTGTATCCCAAAAACCTGGATTAGAACTTAAACTGACTAAACTTACGTCCTTTAAGCTATATGGGTTAATATTAATCCCAAGATTGTTTCCTCACAAGTTCACAAAGGACGTGGGTGTGCCTTTTCACTTGGAAGCATGAACACTTGAAGAGTTGATGGAGTGCAATGCTCTAAACTTGGGATTCATGGATGAAGAGTTTGCACAACATTTCTACTACTTTGGGGGCTTACCTAGAGAAGTGCTAGATATAACGAAGACTAGCAAAAGCCTAAAAGATATCATGACAAAAGCAGTGTCCATTATCGGCAGTTTACGTTGAAGTGGTTCCACCTTTGTGGAGGATTTAGTTGATAAGTACCAGAGGCCAGGACATGAGAAAGTCAGTTGACTTCCACAAAAGAGTTCCTGACACCCACACATTGTCTATTTCTGTGCTGAGGTGATAGCTCAAATCACCCTCTTGCCTGTTGATTATACCAACTAAACAAAAGTTTCATAACGGTACTGAAAATTTTTACTGGAAAGAAACTACGAAGTCGATCGCAATCTCGTCATTTTATGAAAAAGAAAGTGGAAAGGAAAAAAAAATCCAAACAAGCGGACATATGTGTCAAAGGCCACGCGTAGTGTACACAAATAATTTATCAGTGGGACGAGTGATTCACTCACTTGGACAAGAGAGCTTGCAGCTCGTCTCTCTTTCTATCCATATCCTGTGCAAGCAAGGAAGATCATGTAGGATAAACTCAAATTGTTTTTTCGAGACGACCCACCTCGAGATCCTTGACAGCCTTCTCTCGCCAGTTGGATTTATCCACTCTAGAACGCTTGAGTTTTCCAACGCAAAGTAGACCCTGCCGAGATCAAATTCACAAAGATCGTGACTACCATCAAAGGGAAGTTTTTCTTACCGCAATAACGTAGATTGCTCCACAGGCAAGGAGTAAACCGCTTGCAACTTCCGCAAGAACAACTTGGTATGCCTTGTCTCTGTGCTCGTTTGACAAGGCCTTCGTCATCACTCCGACACTGTAGAAACTCCAAGGATCAAGGACCTGAAAGCTAAGATTTAAGAACTTACAAGATCTGTAGCATGCCTCGTCCGACCCAGTACTCGAGAACCTGATACACATTGGATAAGGTCACAGAACCTTTGAAAAGAGTTGCAAACTTACTCGCCAGAATTTCAATATGTGTTCCAGCTCTGTCTCCGCGACTGCTACGAACAAAGCGATGATCACTGCATAGCAGCGTAGAATGCCTTCAAAGATCTGCAAAAAGAAGGAGAAAAAGTTCATCGCCAGAAAAAAAAAGAAAAAGCACAAGCTTTGCAAACTCACGTCTCGTCCATGTTTGAAGGAGCGAACCACCGAGATGATGTTCACGGCGGTACAAAGCAATGCCGCAATGGCGGTGATAACATTGAAGATCCGGAAAGTTATCACCAGAGGATCGCTTCCCTGCGAGGAGCTTTGCTCGTGATGGGAAGACTGGCCGGCTGCTTCTTCGTCGTGATGATCTTCCCTTGCTCCATCGGTCAATCCCTCGTTTAGAATCGACCCCATAACTCACTGCTTTGGACAAACAAAAAGGAAATCAACCAATTAGGCAAGAACACGGTGAAGGAGAATCCATCATCTCGACAGAGAAAGGAAGATTCCAGCTAGATTTGGTTCGATCGATCGATTCATCGCCTACCTTATAGCGAAAGGAAGATGAGGGTTGCCACAGCCAAATGCCACACCATAGCTTCTTTCACACCTAAAGAATGCCACGCCCCCTACGCCATGGCGACACATGGCGCGCGACAAAGGGCTACGTGGCTTCGTAGAATATTCTGTGTTTTAAAAAGCTTTTTGCTTTTAGAGGATGATAACTATTCACAACATGACTTGGCTAAATTATTCGGATATTCAGAAGCGACATTTTTTGTTGCATTATGTGGTTCTTTTTTTTTTTACTTTTTTTTGCTACGTTTTTCCGAATATTGATTGAGGGAAAAAAATCCACACTGCTTTGTTGTCTAAGTTAAAACATTTTGATTGTGTCTTTGTTCGTCCATTGCACTTTAGATTCTCTCTCTAATATCAAAAACTTCCAATAAACATCATCATAACATGTTAAAACATTTACCATGAGAATGATAGAGCAAACTCCTTCACTCTAGACATGTCAGGCTGCGGCTCCAAGTAGTCAGTCCCGTCTTCCTTCTTATACCCTTTAAACTTGAAGTCCCGAAACTGACACCCTGGGACGATGAAGATGAGCCAGTAGTAAGGTGGCGGCAGAGTACCTCCGCACGAATATCAACGATCACCACCTCCAGGACCGGAGCCCAGAAAATCTTGTGATCCAAAGAGTAAGTACACTGGATGATAAAGGCTATTTCGTCAAACCGTACTTGGTCATTTTCAAGTCGGTGGATTCGTTTCTTGTCCCAGATATTGTCAAGGCTTGTCAATCCTACAGACTGTAGGATTGGGCTTGGTGGTAGAATTGGGCTTCAACCAAACCCTGCATTTTCTCATTCTTCAATGGCTGTCTTGGTTTATCCCTCCCCAGGTTTGCGGCCACCTAGGAAACTTCCCAACGACAAAGCCTTTTTGTGCTCGATGGCTTCAACTCAAAAACTGGGAGAGGTTTTTCTGGTGTTACCAAATCCTTGTAATCACCTACACCATCCTGCAGGGACGTTTTTCTCGAAGAACTTCTTTCCAACACAAAACCAGTTTGCTTCTTCTCGAAGACAAACTCTTCACACCTCTTGTTTCTCGAGCCCTTGCTTCAGCTCCAGCACAGAATCCTCCGCCTATTCATCCATTGTTTCTCAAGATCTCACTCCAGCTCCAGCACAAAGTTAGCCTTCACTGGCTCCAGCTTGATTGGTGGGCTCCTTGTTGATTTTCTTCTCTCTCCATCTTAATAGCGATTGTGGTCTTGTCAAAAATATTTCACAATCACCACTTTTGGTCAACGCTATTGTGTTATATATTAACCACTGAAAATCCCTCACTTTCATCCACACAAGTTTTAAAATCTTTGATTTAGACTTCCCAGGAAATCTCCTAACCCGGCTTTATTTGCCACTGTTTCTATGTTTGATTCTCTTATTTGCTACTTGATCGCTACTTGATCTAGCCTGGGCCAACGTGCAGTTTGTTTACAGCGATAGGCTGGCGATAGCTGTGATACATGTAGGGTAGGTACAAATATCTATTTAGTATATCGAAAGCATAGAGCTTATGAATTTGCAATGGTGTGCAAATTGCCAATACCAGAAATTTGCTAGCTGCTCTTCGTTGGCATCGTTGGTTGCTCCAAGAATGATACTTCTTTGAGGTAAACATCATTTTCTGCATGATAATCTTCTGGATTATTTCTGAAACAATCAAGTTGATTAAGCCAAAGTTCTCCCAAGTAGCCAACATAATCTTTTGGGCAGAATTGACGGAGCTTTAAGTTGTGGTGGTAGTTAATTGGCATTCTTCTTGTCCAAAAGGAAATTCATTTGTGAATTTGATCTGTAATGCACCGCTGGTGGTCTAGAAATAGTACTCTACCACGGGTAGTGCAATGCTTAAGATATTTTGATCATTCCTGCTAGCTTTTACCGTCCCTCTTCTTCATCTTTCTTTGCAGCCTGATCCCGAAGAGCCTCAATCACCTTCTCTAGAGCCCCTCTCGAGTTCCCCCTGTTCTGGATCAACACCTCCGCGATATCAGCAGGAGTGATCTCAACCTTGGCGATCAGCTCCTCGATCTCTCCAAACTCCTTCTCAAACTCGCCCTTCTGCGAGATCTCAAGGTGAGTCCACGCCAGCACTTTGAACGCCTCAAATCCACAGTAGCCCATCAAAATGTGAAGGTCCATCCTGCCCGACCGCAGCAGTGCGGGATCCAGATCTTCCTTGTGATTTGTCGTAAAGATGATGATCCTCTCGCTCCCGCTACAAGACCACAGCCCATCGATGAAATTCAGCAGCCCCGAGAGTGTGACCCGGCTGCTCTCTTCATCTTTCTTCTTGGCTTTCTTCCCGGACTCTCCATCTTTCTCCTTGGACTCTTCACTGGTTTCTTCCTCCGGCGCTGGCTTTGCCCTTTTTTTGAGCTCCAGCGAGCAGTCAATGTCCTCGATCACGATGATCGCCTTGTTGGAAATCCCCATGAGCAGCTTCCTCAAGTCGGCATTGCTCTTCACCTCCGTCAGCTCCATGTCATAGACATCGTACTGCGTGTAGTTTGCTATGGCAGCGATGAGTGACGACTTCCCAGTCCCCGGAGGCCCGTATAAGAGATACCCGCGCTTCCAAGCCCTCCCAACTCTCTCAAAGAAATCCTTACCAGCCATGAAGGAATCCAGGTCCTGGACGATCTTGTTCTTGAGCTCGGGATCCAGCGCCAGGCTCGAGAACGTCGAGGCATGCTTGAAAGGCACCGATCTCCACGGCTTCTTCCTGTAACCCCAGTCGTCCGAGTTTGCTATGTTGGTGTAGAGCTGCCGGTCCTGGTTCTGGCGCTTCAAGCTCTCTCCGAGCTTGATCACTTCCCTCATGTACTCGGGCAAGAGTGTACACTTGTGCCTCCTGTGAACTTGGACAACGTACTCTCGGCGTGTTCCTCCACTTCGATCAAAATAGCTGAAGCCTCCGCCGTTGGAGGGCTCGGTGACGTTGAAGACCCAGGAGAATGTGACGCCTTTGAACTTGTCCTCCACTCGCTCGCCCCTGGTGAGGTTGCAATTCGGCTTGCTGGCGTTCTTCACTCGCGTGAACTGGATCCTGTTTGCCGAGCTCTTGGTGTTGGTGTCGGTGAGATGAGCAACGTAGAGGTCGACCAGGTCGTAGATCTCGTTGGTGTTGTTCCGGACGTACTCTGGGATTGAGAGCTCTGTCTCCCACCATAGCCAAGTTACAAACCTCTTGAGCTTGAGCTCCAGAAGCAACCAGACGTGGGGCGGAACTATCTGGTTGAGGATCATGATGAAGCCCATGAGAGAACCGAGATGGGAGAAATACCCCCCTGCCATTGCCATCTTGCTCGTTTGCTGCTGCTGTTGCGAACACTGACCTTGCTGCGTCACTCTTATTGTGGTGTTGGCGTGTAGATGAAGCCACAACGAAGCCAGCTCCCGCGTATTTTCTTGTAGAGAAATCTTCGTCAATCTCGTGAGTCATGCTCACGATGCGGTCAAAGGACTGTGTCAGCGGCGATAACTTTAACAATGGAATAAACTTCTACATGTCACCTGTTCCTTCTGAGGCCGCACACTAAATGAACAGTTTGAGTGATGGTCGCACGGAAGTTCCCGAGCTCGTTCCATCGAATGGGAAGTGAAAAGATTCCAGGGGAAAAAAATGTTCGCTTTTTGAAAATTTTGGTCTGCATGACTTTCATTGTTTAGTTCTTGTTCTATGAGAAGAGGACATACCTGAAGATCGATGGGCTCCTCTCGCTTGTAGTTGAAAAGAGCTTGAGAGGCTTTACCAGGCTTGTGATAGCAAACAAAATGCGCAACAGCGTTCTCAATAGAAAGTCAATAGAAAATTAAAAAAAAACCCGCGTGGTGAATCGTCCAAGACTTCCCGAGTTGCCGGATTGGCTGCTGGTGCAATTCAGGTATGGTATCAATTTTTTCTTGCTGCTTCTTTGTCTAAATGAGGCTGCTGATAAGAATTTCTTACAGCAAGCGCGAAGATGATGGTTTTGAGCTGCTGCATCGTCAGATTACAAAGAATAATCACAATCTACAACTGGCGGTTGTTGTTGTGATTTCTGTATAGTGCAACATCCGCCGAGGTCGGTGTTTCTTGCCATAATATATTTTCTCTTCTTGGATCTTCCTTGCCTGCATGCATTGCTTGCAGCCTTGATCGTGATTTCCAGGGAAAGTTTTCCGTGCGGCGCTGTGCTGGTGTGTGCCTGTGGTACTATCACTCCCACGGCAGCCAGCGTCCATGGCCAGCTAGTTTGCTTGCTCGCGAGAATCACTGTGTTATTGTTTTTTTTTCCTTCGGGATTTGATCTCCGATTTGGCTGTGATTTATATCCTTTGGTATAGTGTTATGTTGGAGTGGATCACGTGGCACCACGTGGCAGGGAGGCTGCGCCTCCTAGTGTTGGCCGTGCCCATTCCTGTGATTGGTTTTTTAGTCTTTCGTGTGGGAGATAAATAGTGAGAGCTCTGCTGTATCTTCTTTCTATCTATCGTGGCCGGGCTATTGCCTGGCTCCCTCACGTTTTCTCTCATGTTATTCTCTCTTGGAATCAAATTGGTGCCAAATGCGCACTAAACATGTTGAGGACACTTGTTGTGAGCTGCTCCATGCCGGCTTAGCTGAGCTTGAACCGCAACATTATAGCAAGTACTGTCTATATGTTTTCTTGCTTCAAATTCAAAGTGTCATTCGTTTGGTCTAAACATGTTCACAACAACCAAGTTGAAGCTGATGAACCAAGTGGATTCTGCTGGATGCTGATTTAAGCAAGATTTCCAAGATTGATCCTTGAGGTACAGCTTTCTCAGATTGCTCTTTGTGTAAATATGCTCTCAAACATTAGGATGGCTTCTTGAATGATGAAGCATATGGATGTTTATTCTGAGCTAGTGGGTGAATATAAAAAAGTAGTAAAAAGCAATTAACTATTTTGGTCACAAAACATGGGATATATCTAAAATATGCTTGAATATTCTAGGATATTCTGAATATCGTGTTTATTTTTTTATAAACTTTCTTAAACACCTTTTAATATATTCAACTGTTTTACTATTATATTCATTTTATATTTATTAAAAATATTCTTAAACACAATAGAAAGTGCTTATTAGTTTGGTTTATGTACATTACTCCCTAGTGTTTTATATCTTACCCAATATCCATGAGTCAAAGGCTTGATCCCTCTGGGCTAAGTCTAATGCAATGTCTCCTCTCTTTCCAGAGGTTAGGATTTGATTTAGGGGCCTCCACTTCCACTTTGGTTTCCTTTGTTTCTACAGTAGGGAGGAATGTAATTGAATTGTTGCTAGTGATTAAAATGTTTTTCCTAAGCTGAGTATGTGGTATAAACCAAACTAAGCACGTATCTCAGCCATCATGGCCACCAATCAGTGCCACACTTTTCCTATTCACGATCGGTCTTTCGCAAGTCATTTTCCTTTTTCCCACCATTCTTTTGCAAGTCATTTTTCTTGTGAGGTGCTAGATCAAATCCCTGGACGAGCCAATCGCCTTATCTCCAAGATTCCACAAGCCAGTGATCCATAAGAAATTGGCTGATACGGCAAGAAATCTATAGAGCTTCTTTTATCAGAGAAGGAGTTTCTTCTTGCCATGGATCCAGAGATCCGATCCAAACTGACCACTCCGATGCATTTTCTAAGCTTTTCTAAGAGCTTACCAAAGTAGTGGCTACGGTGGTCCACTCTACTCCTTTGGTATTCTAGTCGAACAGAACTTGGCCTCTTCCGAAATCCTCAGATTTTCTTGTGGCACAAAACAAAATCCATTTTCTAAGCTTTTCTAAGAGTTTACCAAAGTACTGGCTATGGTGGTCCAATCTACTCCTTTGGTATTCTAGTCGAATAGAACTTGGCCTCTTCCAAAATCCTCTGATTTTACACAAAAACAAAAGGAAACGTTAGGAATGTTACGTCCCCGCGAAGGAGATTCCAACAGCGACACGAGTGACACTTGATCGACTAGATTCTTTCTTCGAATCCATTCATACCTCCGAGGCAAAAGATTTAAAAACCCCAGACACTTGCAAAGGATCACAATGTGACTGATTGATGCTATTGACGGTTTGAGAATAGACGCGTTCCAAATTATGTAAGGTTTCAAGGAGTAAAACCGACTATTGGGCCACTTTTGCCACCTACTTTAGAGCTATGGTACTTTCTAAAAAGTTGGTAGGGCAAATAGTGTGTTTTGACTTTAAGATGAAGGGATGCTTTTGACTGACACAGCATTGCTCATTGAGTTTGAGAAGATCCCATGCCCGAGCTTAGAGCTGGACTTAGCCTAGCTATTCAACTGGGGGTAGTAACTACTATTCTTCATATGATGCACCTGTAAGAGCTGGCCAAGGAAAGTTTAACCATGATCTGAAATGAGGATTGTAGGGACTCTGAAATGGCATATGATGTGTTTGTCAATAAAGTGTGCTATGGAAATCTGGTTAGCATGCTGAAAGATGGTCTAGTATTTAAGTTCTTTTGAGTTAAACCAACAGGCTTCAATACAAATCAGGCATTACATTTATTTGATCCAGATGATGGAGAAGGAAATGCATGTTAGCATTTTGTGGCAGACATATTATGTGTGTAAATCAATGGAATTATAATATTTATACAGTTATTTGTTGTTGTTTTTTGTTCTTACCAGTGTTCTTTACTATCTCAAAATATAAGCTGATTATTTTTCCAAGAATAACCTATACATATTTAGCCATCAAAAGCGCTATTGAGGGAAAACAATTTGGGAAACAGAAAGTGCCATTTGAGGTATGTTTTGGAGAAAGTGTTATTTGAAGAGTGTCATAGCTAAATTAGGCTCATTTTATCTTATTTTTCTTAGCTTGTCCCTTTAATAGATTGAGTGGCTTTAGGAGTTTTCAATAAACTTACTTTTGTTTATAAGGATCCACTTAACATAATTGCACATGAAGCTCAAATGTCATAACCTTTAAAAAATTCATCTTAAACCAATTCTTATTTATCACAGCAACATGTTGCAAGTTTCGAGCTATTGTGGGGTAAATCATTTGATTATATATAAATTGTGGTTGCTTGTCTCTCATAGATTAGTGGCCAAGGACATAATGCACTTAAACCAAATGACATATATATATATATATCTGTGTGTGACCTTTCTCAAAAAAAAAAGTTTGAAGGTTTGAACCTCAAAATATACAAGTTATGCAGTAATGCAGACATAAGAAACACAACAGCATTGAAGGCTTCATTCATAGATTCTCAAACAGATAAGAAAAAAAACAATTGTCAATTAAATCGTTTTGCAGGGAGATGTGCTTCAGTGATGGCACCAGTTCTTCTTGATAGCTTTAACTCACCGTTGGTTCTTTCAGTCCTCAAAGTGTTTGTGGCGTTATGCAGCCAAGGCAGTGCTGATTGTGGATGACCGACAAGATTGAGGTCTTCCTGAACATAAAAGAAAAGAGAAGAAAATTGGAAGAGAGAGCTCCTAGGAATCATGCTCATAGAAAACCAGCAAATCACCACCACTTCTACGATAATACGTATTTTTACTGGTATGATCTCGGTTGATTTTTTTGGAGGCTACAGACAAAGAATTTTCCTCGTCTCTTCCTTTAGCGTCAACATCGCTGACTGGAGCAGCGTCGTGAGTGAGCATGACTCAGGCAGTGAGCTTGACGAGAAGAGTTCTCAGACTTTCGCGGGAGCTGGCTCTTGTTCTTGAAGGGAATGTTCACCAGAATAAAAGTGAGGTGGCAAGGTTCATTCTCGCAGCAGCAGCAGCAGCAGTCGAGCAAGATGACAACGGCAGGGTTTGGGTATTTCTCCCATCTCGGTTCTCTCATGGGCTTCATCATGATCCTCAACCAAATAGTTCTGCACCACGTCTGGTTCCTTCTGGAGCTCAAACTCAAGAGGTTTGTAACTTGGGGTGAAATTGGTTGCTGCAAAAACAGGTAGTTAACTAACTGCTTTCTTGTTTTCTCATAATTTTTTTTCTTCCAGGTTTGAATCTTTCATCAAAAGATATTCAGCACTTAGCAATTACAACTATGAGTGTTTGTAACACTGTAATAGAAGACTGTATGAAGCTAACAGGACACAAGAGGGTGGAAAAATGGAACATAAGGTTTTTGCTAACCATTTTGTCATTAATGCTTCTTTTTTTAACAAGTACGATCACTCTGGGAAAGCCAAGAGAACGGCGATGTCATCAGTTCTGTATAACTGGTATGATTGTACTGGTCGTCTGAAAAACTACCAAGACGAATTTAGAAAAGCATCGGAGTATATTGTATGGTGTTACAAGGTTGGTAAACCTTTAAATGAGGATCCATTGGATCTTCAAGATTGCCATCTTGTTTCTTTTGGTAATTAAAAGCTTTTTTTTTTGGAGGTTTAACACTCTTTTCAATTCAGGTGGAAATGACAATCAACAGACTCAAATTCGTGGCAGCAACAACAAACTTTTGGTAAGAAAACCAAAAACTTTATAATCTTTATAATGGAACTTTCTCTTTTCTCTATTTTAGGTGGTCCTAGGTAGCAACAGCTTTCTCCAATAGAAGAGATCCACCAACAGGAACTGAATCACCACCAAGTTCTGGACGTGATTGAAGAGCAGCGAGGTAAGAAAATTCTTTCTTTCCTTTTTTCTTTCAATTTAGTTTTCTCTTTGTTTCAGGTGGACACGACAAGCAACACGAGATTGTGCCAGAGCATGGTGAGCAACAGGAATCAATCATTTCTTGAGACAAAGGTAAAGTTTATTTAATTTGAATTCTTTATTTCTAACTTTTGATCTTGTTTTGTAGATCTTGACGATAATGAGTTACTTTTAGCTTTATCCAAAGATCCAAGAGTTGCAAAAGCTTTAGCACTATTAATTAGCATCACCACATTTCACCATTATACTGTGAGTAATTGTGTCATTGTATTCAATGGTCATAGCCAAAATGAACTTGAATTATTCAAGATTGCTTTGATAAAAAAATAAAAAAGCAATTGCATCTCATGTGATTGGAGAATGTGGTTACTAGCAACCAAGTTCTCTAGAACCTGGATGATAGCAGCCACATTCTCTAGAACCTAGTAGCTGTCAACCATGTTCTTCAGAATGTGGTTGACAGCAGTAAAATTCTCGCAGAAAGCCTGACTAAATCTAATGGCTACCAACGGTTGGACCAAGTTAACGGGCGAACCACAGCCCATTAAAGTGAGGTGGCAAGGTCAGATTTTTCTCATTCTCGCAGCAGCAGCAGTCTAACAAGATGACAATGGCAGGGTTTGGGTATTTCTCCCATCTCGGTTCTCTCATGGGCTTCATCATGATCCTCAACCAGATAGTTCCGCGCCACGTCTGGTTCCTTCTGGAGCTCAAGCTCAAGAGGTTTGTAACTTGGCTATGGTGGGAGACAGAGCTCTCAATCCCAGAGTACGTCCGCAACAACAATAACGAGATCTACGACCTGGTCGACCTCTACGTTGCTCACCTCACCGACACCAACACCAAGAGCTCGGCAAACAGGATCCAGTTCACGCGAGTGAAGAACGCCAGCAAGCCGAATTGCAACCTCACCAGGGGCGAGCGAGTGGAGGACAAGTTCAAAGGCGTCACATTCTCCTGGGTCTTCAACGTCACCGAGCCCTCCAACGGCGGAGGATTCAGCTATTTTGATCGAAGTGGAGGAACCCAGCGAGAGTACGTTGTCCAAGTTCACAGGAGGCACAAGTATACAAACGCTCCATCTTTCTCCTTGGACTCTTCACTGGTTTCTTCCTCCGGCGCTGGCTTTCCCCTTTTCTTGAGCTCCAGCGAGCAGTCAATGTCCTCGATCACGATGATCGCCTTGTTGGAAATCCCCATGAGCAGCTTCCTCAAGTCGGCATTGCTCTTCACCTCCGTCAGCTCCATGTCATAGACATCGTACTGCGTGTAGTTTGCTATGGCAGCGATGAGTGACGACTTCCCAGTCCCCGGAGGCCCGTATAAGAGATACCCGCGTTTCCAAGCCCTCCCAACTCTCTCAAAGAAATCCTTACCAGCCATGAAGGAATCCAAGTCCTGGACGATCTTGTTCTTGAGCTCGGGATCCAGCGCCAGGCTCGAGAACGTCGAGGCATGCTTGAAAGGCACCGATCTCCACGGCTGGTTCCTGTAGTCGTCCGATTTTCCTATGTTGGTGTAGAGCTGCCGGTCCTGGTTCTGGCGCTTCAAGCTCTCTCCGAGCTTGATCACTTCCCTCATGTACTCAGCGAGAGGATCATCATCTTTACGACAAATCACAAGGAAGATCTGGATCCCGCACTGCTGCGGTCGGGCAGGATGGACCTTCACATTTTGATGGGCTACTGTGGATTTGAGGCGTTCAAGGTGCTGGCGTGGACTCACCTTGAGATCTCGCAGAAGGGCGAGTTTGAGAAGGAGTTTGGAGAGATCGAGGAGCTGATCGCCAAGGTTGAGATCACTCCTGCTGATATCGCGGAGGCGTTGATCCAGAACAGGGGGAACTCGAGAGGGGCTCTAGAGAAAGTGATTGAGGCTCTTCGAGATCGAATGGAGCAGGGTGCGAAGAAAGAAGAAGAGGGGGGTAAAAATAAAATACCCTAAACATTGCACTAATCGTTATTAAAGTAACATTTAACTATGTTTTATGTTGATTATGAGGTACTTGTAGTACGGTCAATTGAGATCAAGTCCCAGATGGATCGGCTATGCGATGCGTTTGCAATGAGGAGGAGAATTCTTCGTGGAAGAAGTTGGTGGTCACTGTGGCTCATTCATTCATAGAAGTTTAAATCATTCCACTAAGCTGGTTTTCGATCGCGCTTAATCGTGTTTGCTAGAATGCGATGCTTACGGCATAGCTCATTTGACCGCTGAGGACATCGACATGGGTGCTCAGTATGAGAGCTTGATGATTGCGTAAATTCTTCCTAGCTACCTTTTGCATCATACTTCTCAAACTCGAGTAAACTCTCAATGTATGTTGCTCCAGTGATTTGCATTTCAGGCACAAGATCGAGATGTCGTCTTTATTGCAGAAGCAGACAAGAGCAGCAAAGTTTTCCATCGATAGCAGCCGTGAAAGCCATGTCGGAAGCTGTTAACACGCCCATCATGGAAGTGTGACAAACGAAACTCTCTCGTGGTCAGTGAGGACTCGTAGGGCAGATATTGCGCCACTGCCTGATCATTGAGTTCCAAGGTTGTTTGGACACAAGGGATTCTTGACTTCGATGAATTATTGTTTATACTCCATCAGAGATTCATGTTCTTGACAGTTTCCAACGTAATATGTTGAAGAATATTTTACTAGAATATTCCTGCAAGCGTGTATAAAAGGGTTCTTGCTGCCGTTCCATACTATGGCAAAGAGAAAGTGGGATGGCATGACCAAGACGAGGAGGAAGAGAATGGATCCCTCAATTTGGTCGCAGCTGCCTCGAGACATCCAACACCAGCTCATCACTCACCTCCCAATCCCCACCCTCTGCCGCTTCCGCTCCCTCTCCAAGGATTGGCACGCGGCAATCCTCCAGCAGCAGTCGCGGCAGCAATGGTACATCACCTTTGCCAACTCCGAGGGTGAGTTTCGCATCTCGCCCAACGGCATCTCCTGGAAGGTGTTAACTCACCCCCTCCCAGAGGCCCCAAAGGTACGCAGGATATTTGGTTCTCTGAGCACTTGCTCGGCAGGTTTGGTACTGGCCTTCTCTCTCTCGAAAACCTTTCTAGTGTTCAATCCAATGATTCAAAACAGGCACGAGCTGCTTCCGCGGCTGATCGGTAATGTGATCTTTACTGCCATTCAATCAGTGCCATGCGGCAGCGAAAGAATCTCGTACATTGTTGTTGCCGTGACTACTTCCGGTACCGCTGGCAACCTGCGGATGCACTTGTATGATTCGCGGGTGGCAGCGTGGATCTCTACTACAGACTTCCCTGTGCCAGACAATGGCGAGCTCTTCTGCCGTGGCAATAGGAACTACAACAACAAAAACATGCTGCTCCAGGGCGATCATCTGTACTTCTTCACCGTTTCGCCAGGAAATGTGACAAGGCTCAAATTATTCAACGTGTGGAACCCCAAAGCCACCCTTCGAACCGTGGCAACGTGGACGAGCCTGCCCTTGGGCTTTGATGCGGCTGGTTATGCGCGCACGGGCTTTGTAGAAAAGGATATGTCTCTCATCTCTTGTGGAGGTAATTCTTCATTCTTGTGTGGCTTTTTAAGCTGACGATTGTAGTTATTTGCAGGAAAGATTGTGCTTGGCATACTAGAACCAAGGGATGACAACAGGAACCTTGGAAGCCGCAGGTTTGGTTTTGTGTATCTGGACAAGGAGAGTTGCAGTTGGCAGGTGATGGCATCCTTGAGCCTTGACAGCGTTTTTTCGCCTGGGATGATAAAAAATTCCGAGTACACCACCATGATAGCTGTTGGAAACAAAAACAGTAGCGAGGTGGCACTGCTTTTTCAAGAAAAATGGGGATGCATCTTAAATCTGGCTTCTGGTACTTGGCATGCCAATTATCGGCACCCAGTGACAAGTGCGATTCTTCCATTCCAGCCTTCCTTCCAGAATTTCTAATGACACATGTAACCTGGATTTATGAAAGAAAGTCTTAAGAACTTCTTATCCCATGATGTTACACATCGAAGCATTAGAAATCTGCTAGCCTTCTATTGCAGGTAATGTTACAAAGCAGGCAGGTGCTGTTTCAAAGCCTTGATTGAGCACTGGAGCAGGAACATGCACCGAGAAGAAAACCAGCATCGAATGAGCTGCTGCCATAGAATTAGACGAAGCCCCGTGAAAGTGATCATGGGACAGGGAATCCTGGGCTTGACAAGATCAGCAGCTCAGGGAGCTCCGTCTACTTTCTGCTTGCGAGCATCTCCTCCTGCTCGCCAACGTTTGAATAATCAAACGTTGACTTACGAAATCGCGGTTCATGTTGGAACTGGATCATCGCCGCCAGCGCCTATCGATGCCATGACGGTTCAAACAGCCCGGTTAACTCTACCAGTCAAGGAAAGGTCAAGGACCCGGTCAAAGACAAAGTCAACGTCCGCCACGTATAAAGGATTTTAAGATCACTCGTCAGCTAGGAGAGCTATCAGGCCGCGACGAAAGGTACTTGAAGATGACCATTTGTATCAGCAGCTCTTGGATTGTAAGCACACAATAAATAGGAATTGTTTGAGTGATCTTGTTTTTTCTCACAAAACTCCCAATCTTGTCATTGCTCTTCTACACTACACTTGTGTAGTTTCTCTACAGAAACTGGAAGAAAAGCCGTCGAACTGGCTAGAACGTCGTGCTAGGATCCGTGATGGCATAGTTTTGCATGTCACCGCTCTTGCCAGACCGATCGTCTGAGTTCTCTTCCAGCGCAACAAATGTTGCTGCTCAACTCTAAGTATCATCTCTTAGTCAAGCACCGACAGGTTTCCTTCCTCTTGTTCCAAAACAACAGTTTTGACGTTTCTTTCTAGATCAAATCTCGCCATTGATTTTTTCTTACCTTCCGTCACACAATGCTTGCTGCCTGAGAGAGAGTTTTTCTCCCCTTGTACGTTGTTTTCCTTTTAGTATCTCCTCGTACTGTCTCAAAGTAGCTCCAGTGATTTGGATTTCAGGCACAAGATCTAAGGAAGCATGAACAAGAGAAGAGCTTAAAGATGGTGGGGGCAATTTCTCCGATGACAAACAAAACTCCCTCTCCCTCTCCCTCTCTCTCTCCCCTCGAGACTTAGGAGAAGACTGGACAACTGCCTGATCCTAAGCTTGATGATGAAATGAAAACGTATAATTCTTTCTAAGTTGTGATAACATTCGTTCTTGCCTGTGTTTTTGTCCATGCTTAATATAATAGTGTAATGTAATGTAGCCTTTAAGTGACATTTATTTAGTACCCTACCCTTAATCATCTTTACCGTTTAACAAGGGTGACGTGTCACCGCTTTGACGCTTCAAAGTTAGGGCAAGAGAATGCGCGTCCAGAGGAATGCCCCGACGAGGTGGAGGTAACTTTTGATCGCCCAGGTTGTGTATACGAGACATCGACTTGGGCATTTTCTTTTCACGCACAGGCAAGGCCCCTCCGAGGCCAAAGGCGGTGCAACGTCCCAACAGTGCTCCTCCGCCATCTGGTAAGAACACAATCGGTATGATCGCGATTCGCGACTGAAAGAACTCGTTTGTGGGCTTGTGCAGTTTACCATGCCCCGGCTCCTTCAATGCTGGGAGGCCTTGCGGCAACAATCGCGCAAGGTGGCTTTATTTTACGTGGTTTTCTAAACGATTTCTTTGAGTTTGAGCAGGAGCGGCATTTGGAACCGGTAGCGCTGTGGCGCACCGAGCAGTGGATGCCATTGCAGGACCTCGCACGGTTCACCACGAGCACACGACAGTAGCATCAGCCCAGCCAGCGATGTCTCCGCAGAGGAGCATGGACGATTTGTGCTTGAACGCAACCAAAGCCTTCCAAGAGGTACCATTTTATTTGCTTTTCTAGTATCTATAATATAAATAATTTTTATATATGTTCTTCTTTTAATTTGTTTTGCAGTGCGTGAATTCTAATCTCAATGATATTGGAAAGTGCCAGTTCCTGCTGGATATGCTTAACGAGTGCCGCAAAACGTCCTCAGGTGAAGTTTTTCACCAAGTTCTTTTGATTTTTTCCTTCTTTTTCCTGTTTTATTAATATGTTTAATTACAATCAGGTCCATCCCAACCATGAGGGAGCCATCAAATTTTTAGTTTTTAGATCTTTTCAAGCCCGACGTTTCAGTTTAGCTTTCTTGAAATAATCTCTTCCAAAAGATGTAATATTTAAGTTTTTGTGTAGAAGATTAAGATAACAATGGGGATGTAGCTCAGATGGTAGAGCGCTCGCTTAGCATGCGAGAGGCACCGGGATCGATACCCGGCATCTCCATTCCCTTCCGGTGACACCAATCAGTGCCACGCTTTTCCTATTTTCGACCATTCTCCCGCAAGTCATTTTCCTATTTTCCACCATTCTTTTGCAAGTCATTTTCCTTGTGAGGTGCTAGATCAAATCGTTGGATGAGCCAATCGCCTTATCCCAAGACTCCACAAGCCAGTGATCCATAAGAGATTGGCTGATACGGCAAGAAATCTATAGAGCTTCTTTTATCAGAGAAGAAGTTTCTTCTCGCCATGGATCCAGAGATCCGATCCAAACTGACCACTCCAATCCATTTTCTAAGCTTTTCTAAGAGTTTACCAAAGTAGTGGCTATGGTGGTCCAATCTACTCCTTTGGTATTCTAGTAAAATAGAACTTGGCCTCTTCCGAAATCCTCGGATTTTCTTGTGGCACAAAACAAAATCCATTTTCTAAGCTTTTCTAAGAGTTTACCAAAGTACTGGCTATGGTGGTCCAATCTACTCCTTTGGTATTCTAGTCGAATAGAACTTGGCCTCTTCCGAAATCCTCGGATTTTACACAAAAACAAAAGGAAACGTTAAGAAAACGTTAAAAATGTTACGTCGCCGCGAAGGAGATTCCAACAGCGACGCGAGTGACTCTCGATCGACTAGATTCTTTCTTCGAGTCCATTCATACCTGCGAGGCGAAAGATTTAAAAACCCCGGACACTTGCAAAGGATCACAATGTGACTGATTGATGCTATTGACGGTTTGAGAATAGACGCGTTCCAAATAATGTAAGGTTTCAAGGAGTAAAATCGACTATTGGGCCCCTAGATCATCCACTTTTGCCACCTACATTAGAGCTATGGTACTTTTTAAAAAGTTGGTAGGGCAAATAGTATTTTTTGACTTTAAGATGAAGGTTTAACCGACAAAGCGATTGAAACCGTGGGATGTGGGCCGATCCAACGGCATGCGAGCGCGTAACGCGCGGTACCGCGGGCGGGTGACGCGTGGCGCGTGTCGGGGAAGAGAGTGCGCCACCTGCCTGGTTGCGAATATTATCTAGATTCCCAGGAGGAGGGGGAAAAGAGAAAGCGCCCCATTGTCTTTATATATTTAGGGCTCTTGAGAGCGAGAAGCGCGGCATTCATAGCGCCCTTTTGGTGATTCTTTCTAGTTTCTCGCACGAGTAGTTTGTATAGCGGCGCCAGGGTCTCGGAGGAATGCGGCATGCTCAGGCATCGATTTTCATCGATTCTCTCGTGGTTTGAGCAGCAATAGCATGATCTTGACTGGGAATGATAGGTAGGAGGAGGAATCGGCAGCGCGGCAGGCAAAATATCTGATCCAGGGATCAAGAACATCAAGGAAGGGGGAAAGGAAATTCAAGGCGATGGCGTCGTCGACACTGCGATTGGCATCGCTGCTGCTCTTCCTCTTCTACTTCTGGTACCCCCAGCTCGGCATCGGCTCGAAATTCGCGCACTCGCCGCCCCGCCGGAGGCATTTGCTCCAAGAATCTGCCAGCAATCCGGAAATATTTCCAGGGAATCACTCCTCGCTGCTGTTTGCGCGCTCCAAATTCTCGGTGGGGAAGCACGACGAGGATCGAGCGCCGTGCGAGGGCGCCGCCAAGCACAAGGGTTTTTCCAGCCCTTGCTCCTACGCGATGGCACACGAGGACTGCCAATCCGGCGGCCTCTTCGAGTACATCCAGATCTACTACTGCATCGACGCCGATAATCCACACCCCCGGCTCAAGAACATCCTCTCCTTCCTCGCGATCTCCCTGTGGCTCGTCGCCCTCTTCTACATGCTGGGCAATACCGCCGCGGACTACTTTTGCTCGTGCCTGGAGCGACTGTCGCAGCTCTTGCGACTGCCGCCCACTGTCGCGGGGGTGACGTTACTGCCACTGGGCAACGGTGCCGCTGACGTGTTCGCCAGCGTGGCGTCCTTCTCGGGCTCGCACCGTGGCGGCGCCGTGGGCATGAACTCGGTGCTGGGCGGGGCAGTGTTCGTGGTCACGGTGGTCACAGGCGTTGTGAACATCCTGGTAGCCAGCGGCGATTTCGCGATCGATGGGCGATGCTTTGTTCGCGACGCGGTGTTCTTCCTGGCGAGCCTGGGCTACTTGATGATCGTGCTGTGGAAAGGCAGCGTGAGCGTGTGGGAGTCGCTGGGCTACCTGGGGATCTACGTGATCTACGCGCTGGTGGTGGCGGTGTGGGAGGTCTGGAGGGCCAGATGGGAATCGCGGAGAGGAGATGAAGAATGCGCGGGGGAGTATGCCCGGCTGGAAGGATCCAAGGGGGCCTCGAGCATTGAGAGGGTGATCACGGTGCCGCCGTGGCTGTGGGCGAACCAGGTGGCGATCTACTCGCAGGAGCAGCAGAGGATCGAGGAGGAGGAGGCAGAGGCAGTGCGGTCGAGCAGCGAAGAAGAGAAGAAGATGACGCGATCCAAGAGCTTGCTCAAGCTGGGGCGGAAGGCCTCCCAGGTGCTGATCGAGTGGCCGCTCCATCTCCCTCGCCGGCTCACAATCCCAGTGGTGGACGAATCGCGATGGTCGCGACCTCGCGCGGTGGTGGCCGCCACGCTCGCGCCAATCCTCCTGGTAGCGGTGTGGAGCGCCCAGAATGGGATGCCTATCACTGGCGATTGCCCGTGGCTGGCGGCGGGGATGCTGGTGGGGATCGTCCTGGGCGTCACCGCCTACTTTACCACGGTGGACGAGCGTCCGCCGCAGGGTCACGGCACAGCGGCGCTGGTATGGATCGCCGCGGGCTTCTTCATGAGCATGGTGTGGTTTTACGTCATCGCGCGGGAGCTCGTCGCCGCGCTGGTCAGCCTCGCGGCGCTACTGGGTATCGACGCGGCGATCCTGGGTGTAACCGTGCTGGCGTGGGGCAACTCCATGGGCGACCTGGTTGCCAACTCAGCGCTGGCGTCCCGCGGTGGTAGCGCCGGCGTCCAGATCGCGATCGCGGGGTGCTACGCCAGCCCCATGTTTAACACGCTGTTTGGGCTGGGCGTATCGTTTCTCATCGTGGCCGTCCGATCGCACGGCGCGGTGTACGTCATCCCCGGTACGGAGATGGCCATGCTCACATTGGTGTTCCTCGCGGTGGCCATTTTGATGGCCATTGTGGGCATGACCGTACATAGGATGCGGCCCAGCAAGACGCTGGGCGTGGGGCTCATCGTCTTGTACGGAGCATTTATGGTGGTGAGAGCCTGCAAGTCGTTTGGTATCACACTAGTATGGTAAAAAAGAAAAGAGTATAGAGTTTAATCTAAATAGCGATCAAAGATCTTGACACACTGGCGATTACTTACTGTACATCTTTTTCTACTAACTTATGAAAAAGGAGATTTTTACTTTGCTGCAACTCTCTTGGCTCGCTTTGCCGGTGTCACGACCTTCTTTGGCTTGGATGGAGTAGTGATCTTCTTCGTGACCGCGGGCCTGGAAGATCTCCCGGTGGCTCTAGTGGCTCTAGTATCTTTCACGTCCCGTGACTTTGGAGCTGGAGCTCTCGGCTTTGGAGCTCGTGAGGAAGGCTTGATCACCTTTACCTTCTTTGCTGGAGATGAAGATGATGCTTTGGGGACCTTGACGACCACTCTGGCTGGCGCTGGCTTGCGAGACGAGGATTTGGAGGACGCGGACGATGGGAGCTTGAAGGAGTTCTTCACCTTAGTGATCTTACCGCTGTTGCTGAGTGATTTGAGCTGGATGGAGAGCATCCTCTTGAAAGAAGTGGGCAGCCCCGAGCTATACTTCTCCACCAGGTACTTGGCGATGGCGTGCTGGCTCGAGCCAGTGCGTTCCTTAAGAAAAGAAATCGCTTCCATGACCATCTAAAGTAGAGACCAAGAACAAATACACACTCGATCAATCAAGCTATAGAAACAAAGAAGAGATTTTTACCTCGACATAAGGCGGGTGATGGATGCTGGTGTTCTTCGACGACTTGGGCTTTGGATCCTTCTTCACTGGCGCCACGATTTTCTGCTCATCCGGCTTCGCTTGATCCTTGGCGGAAGCTTGCTTCGCTCGCGATGGCTTCCTGTTGGGCTTTGCTGTAGTAGCCTCACCCACGGCTTCCACTGCCACTGCCATATCGATCGATCACACCACTCTCTGGAAAGAAAGAAGAGGAATTTCTGCTCGATCACACAACCCAGCTGAGAAATCCGCGGCGATTGCCACCCGTACTGCTAGCTAGGGTCTGGGGAACGAGGATAAGGAACAGGGGATTTCTTATAGCGAAGCTCCGCAAGCTCCCATTGGCCTGTGCTTGTTGGCGCGGATCGATCCCATTCAACCAGAGCCGTTGGATCGAAAAGCATCAACGGGCAGCGCCACGAATACCATGATTTAAATCCAAGCATTAAGCTGGCAGGATTACTTGGACGCAACAGCTTAACCTTCGCAGAAGCAAAGCCAAAGAATAAAACTCCACTCTTTTACCGTTGAAAGTGCTGACCATAGAAAAGTCAACCATGTCTGACTAGCTCGAGTTCTTTGATCCACACTCATTTTTCCGTGAATTCGATGAGCTGAGCGACGACGCCAGGATCGGCCAAGGTGCTGATGTCTCCCAGATCATCCAGCTGCTTGGAGGCGATCTTGCGGAGAATTCTTCGCATGATCTTGCCGCTCCTCGTCTTTGGCAGGCCGGGGGCCCAGTGGATCGCGTCTGGAGCAGCGAAAGCTCCAATCTGCGGTGTACACACATTACGATTACCCGAGAAAACTTTCGCCACAACACCTCCTCTTACCTGGCATCGCACAGTTGATATCAAGCTCGACTTTAAATCTGCCGTGTACTCGACTCCTTCGTTGAGTGTCACGAAGGCATAGATTCCCTGACCCTTGACCTGCGAGGAGTTTCAAGATGAGATTGATACTTCAAAATGAGCTCTTGTTTTACCTCGTGATCGATGCCAACCACGGCAGCCTCGGCTGCCAGAGGATGCGCGACAAGAGCCGACTCTACTTCAGCAGTGCCAATGCGGTGTCCACTGCACAGCCCCACAACTCCAGTTACTTGAGCTGCAACAAAACAAATCCAGAGAAACAGACAAAACGTTACCTCACGTTGATAACGTCGTCCACACGGCCTGTCAACCAGTAGTAGCCATCTTTATCCCTGAATGGAATAGAGAGAAATAGTCAGAAAGAGCAAACGACCGAAGTTTGAAAGCAATAGACCTGCGACAGCCGTCGCCGCTGAAGTAGAATCCTTTGAAAGGAGCGAAATAGGTAGTTTCGTATCGCGCGTGATCACCGTAAAGACTTCGAAATATGCCCGGCCAAGAGGCTTTCATGCACAGGAATCCCGTGCATTCTCCGTCGAGTTCCTTGCCATTCTCGTCCACGACTGCTGGCTGCCACGACAAAAAACGCAACCGTATCAAGGAACGCAGATACCGGAAAGAGATGAATACCTGTACACCGAAGAAAGGTAGCGTGGCTGAGCCCGGCTTCAGAGGCCAACAGCCAGGTAAGGGTGTTATCTGGAAGAAAACAAGAGTGAAATGCCTTTTTGGTGTCGACAAGAATATGTACCATGAAGCCACCGGTCTCTGTTTGCCACCAGGTGTCTGCAATGGGACAGCGACTATCACCGACAACTTCGAAATACCACCTGGAAAGCACCATCTTTAAATAACGCAGCATGCTCAAAGGTGGGAGCCCATACCTCCACGCGCTTGGATTGATCGGTTCACCGACGCTTCCTAAAACGCGCAAGGACTTTCGCGAATGCCGTTTCACTGGCTGGAAACAAGAAAATTCTTCAACGATTCACAGAATAAGGTAATCAATACCTCATCTCCTGATCTCATCAATGCTCGAATCGCTGTCGGGGCCGTGTAGAAAATGGTAACGTGGTATTTGTCCACAATCTCCCAACACCGACCAGCGTCGGGGTAATTTGGAACCTACACAAAGAGCCAAGTGAGTTCACGAGACAACCGGGCAAATACGAATGCTGACCCCCTCAAAGATCAAGACAGTCGCTTTGTTCAATAAAGGGCCATAAGTGACGTAGCTGTGACCAGTGATCCATCCGCAATCTGCAGTACACCTGACATGGCATTACCTTGACTCGTGAAACAGTAACAAAAAATAAAACATTGTTGAAAAGTATACTTACCAGTAGACATCTCCGTCATGGTAATCGAAGGCATGCTTGAACGTTGTGGCAGTATAGACCATATAGCCACCAGTTGTGTGTAGCACTCCCTGAGAAAATCAAGCATTCAGTTTTCGAGTATCTCATGAGAAAACCACCTTTGGTTTCCCAGTGCTGCCACTGGTGTACAGCAAAAACAAAGGATCCTCCGCGTCTACCCATTCCACTGGACAATCAGTGGGATAATTTGGAACGACATCCTAGAAACGTGAAGCAAAGAGCCCGATAAAAAAAAGAGAGACCAGAGAGATCAAATACCTGCCACCACACATCCCTTTTCTCTTTCCAGGGAGTGTCTTCTCTCTTGATCGCTAATTTATTATCATATGTCAAACAGTAATCTGCACAAAATCGCCAGTATGTTATCCACAAGCAGACGAAAATCGAGCATAATCAGTTTCTAGTACCTACAGAATGGCCACCCTCCTGTACACATCGATTTAAAGCATCATCTACAATTTCCTTAAGTTTGATAAGCTTTGGGCCCCGTTTTACACCACTGGTCGTGAGCAGAACCTTTGGCTTGCAATCCAGAATTCGTTGGGCAAGCGATTCAGCAGAGAAACCAGCGAACACGACCTGCAAGAACGAGCATTATATAACACACAAAGAAGGAAGAACGTACCGAATGAACAGCGCCAATGCGAGCACAGGCAAGCATTGCTATAGGCAACTCGAGGAGCATTGGCATATAGATTGCTACAGTGTCTCCTTTCTTGATTCCCACAGCGAGCAAATAGTTTGAGAGCTGATCACTACAAAGCTTTAGAACAAATGCTGCGCGAGAAAAGCGATAAACGACGTACCTGACAAACGCGATCGAGAAGCTCTTTGTACGTTAGCTTCATATCAAATCCTGGATCATTTCCTTCCCACAGGAGAGCAACGTCGTCACCCCTGCCCGCCTCTACATGCCGATCCACAGCATTGTAGCAAATGTTGGTACACCCTCCTTTAAACCACTGAGAGAGAAGTTCTACCAAGAGCATGGCAAGTTTACTCCACTTTGAAAGCATACCTCCACACGAATTTCTCCCTTGCGAACGTCCAAATTCTCGGTATGAGCTTTGCTCTCTTCCCACTTGGATTTCCAGAAGAACTGCGACGCGGTGTGCGACCAGAATCCATCGGGATCATCCACGGAATTTTTGTACAGTGCTGCGTACTACAAGTACGGCTATGAGAGGGGAAAATTCGAGAGATAGCGATGGATCATACCTGTTCTCTGGACGACAATAGAGCGGATTTTTTGAAAGTTTCCGACGCATCAAACAGCTCCTCGGCATCATCCGCGACGACACACTCGGCCTCCATTGCGTCGATCTTCCCGGAGGCGCCATTGCTGGCCTTGACAGCGGCGGCGGCCTGTCGTCCCATGCCGGTGGAGGCGATCGACGCAGCGCCGGGCAAGAATCGCCGCTGGCCGGATCCAAAATTCGCAAAACCTAGCGCTGGAGCTCCACAGCGAGAATAAAACCCTAGATCTTGACACACCAGTGGCAGTTGAATTTGGAGCTCTCTCACCATCGCTGCTAATGCCCGAAAATATTTCCAGATGCGCAGTATATTCTAGTCGTCGGATAAAGTCAAACGAATCGAGGCCGTTGCGGGAGCCATTTAATCTGGACCGTTGGAATTCGATTGATTGAATCAAGACCGTCCATTTTCTAGACTTTGGCGGTCTTTACTCGCGACGAATGCTACTCTGCATCTTTGATAATCCATGACGAGGACAAACGAACGAAGAAGCTGCTCGCAAAGAATTCCTCCAGTGTAGGCCGAGAAGCTCACCATTCCCCCCTCGCCTTTGAAAAATAGAGCTTTGATGTTCTTAAAGACATGATCGCCCAGCTCGAAGCTAGGCAGTGTTCCATACAAGGCCTAGAAGAAGAAAAAGAGAAACCAAAATGAAAGATGGATCCAAAGTTTGGAGTGAATTGGAGGAGTACCTGGATACCACTGCTCGCATTTACTCCCTTGACTTTGGCTTCCAGGAAGGAATTGGAGTTTCCTTCTAGCAGCTTATACTTCTCGACGGTGCTGTTGGGGAAGATCACGTCTACGCCTCCAGCTCCTGTGTCAAGTAGAAACAATGTCTCGTGGCCGTTAAATTTCGCTGGAACATGAGGGACATTCTCTAGCATGCGCATCCTCTGCACAGAAAAAAATAATGGATTTATTTCCCATCGAGGAGGAAAATGGACGGACTTACCACAAAGCTTTGGTTCTTAGGAAACTGATAGGTGGCTGCGTTGAAAAGTGATAACGTCTTTTGGGTCATGGACATCTACAAAAGAAATCGAACAATGTAGCCTTGAAACATTTTTAGAGCCTCGTCTTTACCTCTACTACGCAATGATAAAACAAGTCGAAGCCGCAAATTCCTGCTACCGGTTGCACTCCTCTTACGACACCATCCATTGCTACCTGCAGATAAGTTTATGTGAGACTGGAGAACGACAGGTTTTTCCTACTTCGATGTATAGCGGGTTGGTGATTTTTAGTCGTCCAAGCTGAAATTCTCGGCCACGAACAAACTTACTCTTCACCTGATGGCAAGTATTACTATTTTGCATTCTTGGCATGATAGTTTACCTGAGTCTCTACACCCGTTACGTATATCTCCCCGAATTCCGCCATTGAAAATCTGTCTCCCTGGACAAGAATTTCAAGTTAAAAAAGAACAATCTGGAGCCATTTTGTTTGTACCACGCCAGGAGCGAGAGAAAGACCACTGGCGCCGGTATCGACCACAAAATATCTGTAACATAACATGAGACCTCATAACACAAAAAAAAAAAAAAAGAAGAGAAGAGTCTGTGACTTTACCCAATGTCCTGACCGTCAATCAAAGGCTTTACTACGTAGTGTCCGCTAACGGTTTGAATCATCTGTCACACCAAAGTTATAATGGAAGCTCTTACACAAGAAAGACACATACATACCTTCACAGTTGAAGAAATGTCTTCGTCAAATTCAACCACGGGCCTTCGTTTGTTATGCCTTGCTATCTGGGGTGTGGATGGAACCGTAAACAAGCTTTGAGAAATTCTGGCAGCTTCAGCACGACTTGCAATAGTAGTGTCTTTTCCACCAGCTGGTGGATATCGCACAGTCGAGCACGGCATTCGATACCGACGACCAGGCTGCAAAATTGATCTGAAAACTTCATTCTCCTAATCAGCTCGTCCTAGAGGATTATGAGTTATAAGTACCAGAATGCATCGCCAATCGGAGTACTCCCACACGTCCTCCCCACCAAAAACTTGTGTTCTCATTTGAGTTGGAAGCCAAGTGTCTGTATCCACATGAACACGAGCCAGTACCTATCATGTTTCCGAAGAACGGGAGCAAGAACAGGAGAAGAGCAATTTTGTTTTCAATGAACTAAAGTTGGAGTGGAAAACATACCTTCGAGTCTTTCAAGTGTACTTCGAAAATCTTCTCTGAAGGAGAATCCTTGTCCAGCTCGATGCTCAGCTTCGTCTGTCCACCGGCTGAAATCCAAAAGCCTGTTCTTAGCCAAGTTGTCAGCAAACTCGTCTGCAAGGTCAGTATGATAAGATTTTCGATCTTCGGAGAATCTATGAAACCAAACCTCTAGATCGTCCAAATCTAGCGACGTAACTCGTCCGGCATAGTCGGCATGCCATGGCCTGCTAGTGCCATCGTATCCTCCATCAACAGTGACTTCCTCGCTATCGAATTTCTCGTAAAACCGGCCATCGGAACTCCACGACAAATTCCACTCTCCAGTAAGACCCATGAAAGTTTGTTCTCCTACACCATCGAAACTAAAATTCCTCAGCTAGACAATGCAATCCTGCGAGAACTCACCAGTGACAGTAAATTGCTCGTTGCCAGCAATGTCATCGATCCCCATCGCCTCGCGCATTTTCTCCAAGCACTGCTCCACGGACAAAACCTGGCGATGCTCGAGCTCCTGGACCTGCATCGAGCACTGGGACTGGCACAGCCGCGCGGCATCGCGCCTGCGCCTGCCGGAGAACCCTAAACCCCACAATGGAGCTGCCGCGACCTGGAGAATCAAGCCCTGCTTCCCAATCGCCCGGTTCACAGGCCCTGCTTGTGAGAATCCATAGCGCTTCAATCGATTTCCGCTGGAAATCACGATGGAGGACGATGGCGCGGCGCAATAAGCTCCGACTGCCATTGCCTCCACAAAAATTCCCTAGAAACGCTACTAATGACCTAGCCGTTGGATGCCAGATCCGACGGACAGCATTGTGCCACGTATTTATATCATCGGACACTGCTTAAATACTGCCCGTTAATTAACGCCACTACGTGGAGCTTCTATGACATGTGGCGGCTGGAGATTTGTCGACGTCGGCACTTTTCGCCGACGTGGCGATGGTGTGCCAATTTTCTTGGACGGAGTTAGGGCTCTTGGAGAGATGAGCTTGAAGCGATTGGAGGCCGCGGCTAGAGGCATTCAAATCTTTCCGGGACGCGCTGGCGACTGGATCATGCCCGGATCGTGGATCTTTCCCGCATTGTAGCTCCTAATTGGAGCGATGGATTTGTCCGGGGCGATGGCAGTGGATCTCAAGAAGGTAGGCATCGAAATCGCTTCCAATGCCGGATTATCGCCCTGAGGATTGATCTTTTTGCAATCTAGAGCATGTCGCAGGCGTACAGGAGGCCAGGATCGAAAGAAGAGGGCCAGAATGGGAGCGACGCGGCGGCGCCCAATCCTTACAGCAGTCCAGCCTCGTCGATGACCAGTGCCTCCTCGCTGAGCAAATCTGGGAACCAAAGGGCGGAAGCGATCGCCGAGGCTCATCGAGGGAGAGTGGAGGCCGAGGCACAGGCTTATTTGGATGCTACCATGCGCAAGACCGAAGCTCGAGCTCAGCGTCTACAGGTATGGGAAAAGATTTCCTTGCTCGATCACTTACCTGCGTTCTTTGCTTCTCTTTTCCAGGATAAAGTCGAGAGGCAAAGAATGTACGAGGAAGCTAAAGCTCTTGAGAGTCACAAAAGGGAGGAGCAGCGAGCGGATCAAGTGGTTCACAATGCGGAGGTAAGCTCCAATTCCTGGTGTGTAGATATTTCTTTTGTGATCGATTGTTCTCGATCCAGCTAGATAGAAGCAGATACTTCTCTTGTGATCGATTGTTCTTGATCGAGCTAGATAGAAGTAGATAATTCTCTTGTGATCGGTTGTTCTTGGTCGAGCTAGATAGAAGTAGATAATTCTCTTGTGATCGCTTGTTCTTGATCGAGCTAGATTTTTAATTCCTGTTCTACGACTATAGACTAACAATTCATCTACAGGTAAAGGCTGATAAGATCCTGGCAAGAGCTCGGCAAGAGTCGCAGAGAATAAAATCCCATGCGAACGAGGAAACCGAGAAATCCATAGCCAACGCGCATACAAAAGCCGAAAGGGTACTCTTTTCTTCTTCTCATTCTTTGTTCTAGCACTGACCAAACTTTTTTCGTTTAGATGAAAGCCGAGATCGAAGAGGCAAAGCGCAGAGAGCTCGCGGACATTGTCGATCGCGTCCAGCAAATGATCGTCATTGGGCAGCTCCCCAGCCAACACGAGCCCAGCAATCTGGTGAAGAAGGTGAAGCAATTTGCTTGCTACATTTGAGAACTTCAACTTAAAGCAGGGAGTCATCACACATTCCCTAGAAAGAACTTCCACTTTTTTTCTACGAGTTCTTCCGGGATCCGTGGAACGAATGCTCATCGTGAAAACTTTCACGTATTGCTAGAAAGAATGGATGAATCGCGAGAGGTATTTCGCGGGGCTGATCAAAGCGTGTGGAGCTTCCAGGGACTTAGCCGCGGGGAGAAGGCTCCACGGCCATGTCATAGAGGCCGGGTACGGCAACCGCCCATACCTGGCCAATACTCTCATCGTCATGTACGGGAGGTGTGGCAGCGCCAAAGAGGCCCAAAGGGTGTTCGATGGCATCGAATCGCCGGATCCCTGGACATGGAATCTACTCTTCTCGGCATATGCCCAGAATGGGCATCTTGGCAAGGCGCAAGAGCTCTTCAGGGATATACCATTCCGCGACGTTGTGACGTGGAACGTCTACGTCACCGCGCTGGCACAAAACGAGAATCTTCTCGAGGCCAGGCAGGTGTTTGAGAAGATGCCCGAGAGGAGTATATTCTCGTGGAACGCGATGGTATCGGGGCATTCCCGGAATCGGCAATTGGAGGAATCCGTGGATCTGTTCGAGAAGATGCCCGAGCGCTCGGTCGTTTCTTGGACCGCGCTAGTCAACGTGTTCGGACAACGGGGCTTGTTAGACCAGTCTAAGTGGATTTACTCGCTAATGCCGAGCCACGATATTGTGTCCGGGAATTCCCTTCTTGCGGCATTTGCCGAGGGTAAAGAAGTGGCACAAACGAAGAATCTCTTTGATTGTTTGCCCGAGAGATCGTCCTCTACGTTTAATCCAATGCTCAAGCTTTACAAAGACACTGGCGATTTTGCCAGTGCCAAAGAAGTCTTTGCGCGAATGCCCAATTGGAACCAAATCGCGCTGAGCACAATGATCCAAGCATATGCCCAAGAAGGGCATCTTGCAGAGGCAGAGGAATTATTCCAGAAAATGCCCGATCCAGACGTGGTCGCGTGGACCGGGATGGTAACTCTCTACGCGAGATTAGGGCTCGTTGACCGGGCAAAGACCACCTTTGACCGCATGCCCGTGAAGAACACCGTGACGTGGATGGAGATGGCACGTGTCCTCTCGGAAGCCGGCCACGTGGACGAGGCCAAGGCTGTATTTGACTCGATGCCTCGACGGGGTATAATGTCGTGGACGTGCATTGTAAACATGTATTGTACGAATGGTGAGGTGGAGCTGGGGCAGGCAGTGTTTGACAAGATGCCGCAGCTAGATTCGTACGTCGTGATCGTATTAATGGCCGCGTACGCACAGACGGGGAGAATCAACGAAGCCAGACGCGTGTTCGATTCCACCCCCCAGCCAGACACGGTGGCGTGGAATATTCTCATATCGGCATATGCCCTGTCCCGGCATTTGCAGGATGCCAAGAATTTCTTCGACGTTATGCCGGAGAGGAGCTCGGTGACGTGGAATGCCATGCTATCAGGGTACGGACAACATGCCCAGTGGGGACAAGCCGTACAAGTTTTCTCCAGGATGCCGTACCACGACACATTGTCTCTGAATGTAATGCTTGCAGTGAATGCCCAGCGGGGGCATTTGGATCAAACGAAAGAAATGTTTGAGGTCCTTCCGGATCAAGATGTGGTGTCATGGAACACGGTGATCATGGCGTTCTCTCAAGCTGGGCAATTGAACGAAGCCCTCCTTTTCTTCCAGGAGATGTGTCTCAACGGTGTGACACCCGATCAAGTGACGTTCACAAACGTTTTAGCTGTTTGTAGCCACATTGGTGTCACCGAGAAGGCCTGTGGTTACTTTACCTCGATGGTTGGCGACCATGGTATCGCTCCAGCGAGAGAACACTATGGAGCGATCATAGACAATCTCGCGAGATCTGGAGAGCTGGAAGAAGCCGAGGAGCTTGTGACGAACATGCCTTACAAGCCCGGCGAGATGGAGTGGTCGGTCCTTCTCTCGGCTTGTAGCTCGTACAAAGATCTCGAGCGAGGTAAGCGAGTAGCACAAGTTCTCGAGGAGATCATGCCGGATGAAGCAGCAAACTATGTGTCACTCTTCAAGGTTGTCGCTGATTCGAATACACCAGTCTAGCGAGAGGATACGATGGTCTGCCATTGTAACGTAAGATCAATCAAACAAATGGAATGAATTTTACTCTCTTTTTCTTTCGCGAACGAACCGGATGGACAAAACGCGGGCCTCGGTGTCGTAGAGTTCACTCTTGCTCTTACTTCGATGAGGAACGCTGCTTGTGGATCTTGAAGCCGTAAATCTTGGGAACGTACGTGTGCGTCGGCCTGGCGGGCTTGAGGTGTGGATATGTCATGAGGAAGAGATGCGGGAACGTTGTTCCAAAGTAAGTTCCGTCAAGGTCTGGAAGCGAGAAGGTGATGTGTGAGCAAACAGGAAACGAGAAGTAAAAAAACTTACTGCCTTGGATCTTGGAGCGGGGGTAATAAATGTCTTCGCATTTGGGGCAAAAAATCTTCACAGTGCTTTGGCGAGGGATGTCCGACTGTCCCATTGGGAGGCATTGTTGGCCGCCACAGAACACTCGCGGACATCGGCCAAAGTCCACATTTTTATACTTGTCCAGCTGCGAGCACGAAAGAAAACTTTGATACAAAACAGCAAAAGCTAGAGCACTCACCATGGCAGCCATGCCTTTGCTTGTCAGTATGTAGCGCACATGAATTAATCCATACAACATCTCCGCGGCGGATTCCACAATCTCGTTCTGCTCTTCGGTTAGCATGTCGTCTGCAAAGAGAATGGTTTAGAACGAGCAACGCACAAATGCAAAAGCAAAGGCTCACCAGTTGGAGATTCGACGTCAAGAATAAGGTCCAAGGCGTACTCGTAGTAAGGAACTTGGTTGCTGAGGCCACTCAAGTTGAAATCATCCTGGATGTACTCGGCATCTACTTCGCAAAAGAACTCGTTCCCTCTTAGTGCACAGTACCATGGTATCCACGAAAACTCCTCGCCCTCGTCTGAGCCACTCACATCGGACTCCTCGCTCTCGGTGTCCGACTCCTCAACTAAAGAAAGGAGAAAGAAAAAACACGACCAAGTCAGTGTCCACCTAGAAAAAAAAACCACGACAGAGTAGAAAAAAAATTCTAGAAAACTTACCGTCTTCTGTGACAGATTTCTCAAACAATGCTGCCTTGTTATCAGTGCTACCGCCAGTTCGTCGTCCAGCCGGAGTAGACATTGGCGCTACCACCGACCTCTCCTTCTCTTTTCCATTTGCCGCCGACACCTTGGAGGTCGAGGGCGATGCCTTGCTTCCCTTGGAGCTTTTGGATTCGTGATCCAAGTAGAGCTCGGACTTCCTACCACTGCTGCCAAGGCTATACCCTACTCTCTCCCTAGTATACATATCCGCGAGCCCTGCTGCTACGCTACCAAAAACCTACCGCTGTGATTATCGATGCCTCAATTCGATTCCTCAGCCCCTACGCATCGCCCGCGCACCCACATTTATTTCGGAACCAGCACGGCGCGCTCGCTGGAGCGTTTCCCCTGGATCCGGCACCGCCGCCTCGACGCGATGCCGCAATGCCTGGATTTTCGCCGCAGCTGGGATCGCTTCGTGAGATCTGCGAGAGAATGCGGCGCGGCGATGTGATCGACGCGGCGATCGTCATGGCGAGGAGGAGGCCGCCATGGCCACTCCAATATCACACACACCCAAAAAAGAGGTTCTAAGGGCAAAGCCGTCAGGATTTTATGGGTGACGGCCCCGACGGGCGTGACGTGCGTGACGGGCCGTGTAGGGTTTTGCCCAGTGAACACGTGGTGCCACGGTGGAGGCATCCTGGCCGTCGGAACCACCGGCCGCGATGCGTGCGTTTTGAAATGTTCCCTCCAAGGACCTCCCATTCTAGGGTTCTAGCGAGAGGGGAAGCTATGGCGCCGGCGCCAGCGCTAGGGATGATTCGTGCGTAAGTCTGGAGCTCCAGGAATGCTAGAAGAGTAGATAGATTTCACAGTATTGTCTCCTGGAGCAGTCGATTCCGATGAGCGGCGCCGCCGCTGGGGCAGAGGATGTGGAGGGCGAGCCGTGGTTCCATCGCAGGAAGTCTGATACCTCGAGCGTTCTCAGCGGCCTTAGTGATGAGGTAAGTAGGTGCGTTTCCTCGCGATTCCTTTCCTAGCACAAGTTTATTGCTGGGTTTCTTAAAAGTCCTTGCGATCCAGGTTGAGAGCGAATGCCATAGTGATGTGATTGACCATGAAAATGAGAGCGTGGAGGAAACGGAGCTCTCGTCAAGCTTGCAGAATAGCCGTCTCGATCAAGTGGGTTTCGAGGACGCGCCTACGCCCGTCCAGTTTCCGCCACTGGCATCTCCAAGAACACCGAGGACCACGCCACGAACGCCCATTGTGGTTGAGTGTCCCGGTGCTCCAAGCGTTCGCACGCTAAGGTTTTTTCTCTTGTCCCTTCTTTTTTCCTTTCACTGTAACACAGTGTTTTTGCATTTCCAGAAGCAAAGAGATGGTACGACAGAGCAGCTTGAGTGAAACAAAGCTGCTCATGACAACCCAGTTAAAGAGAACGTATAGCAACTTTCTCTTCGACAAACACTTCGATTTTCTCCGGGAGATTGGTCGAGGCTCGTCAAGCAAGGTACCTATACGTATTTGTGATTCACAACCATTCTAACATTCTCGTCTTCGTTCCTCCTTCACGCAAGGTATATGAGGCTCGTGACAGGAGACACGGCGTGCTCTGTGCCGTGAAAATCAGCAAACAGCCCTTCTTTGCTCGAGAAGACAGAGAGCGCTTCCTTAGGGAGATTCAGAGCGTTGCTTGTCTCCCGGAGCATCCCAACGTCGTAAAATATTATAGAGGATGGCAGCAGGACGCGCACTTTCACATCCAGATGGAGCTCTGCGACGGTGGCAGCCTTCGCAACTATCTGGATGCTTTGTCACAACCACTTGACGAGAACAAGGTACAAACAAACTTCCAGCTCTCTCATATCATGGCTTACGAACGAAGATTCATGGATTCTATGCAGGTGTGGTGTTTTATACGCCAAGTTGCGTCGGGTCTGGATCACATACACTCACATGGTGTCCTCCACCTCGATATAAAACCGGAAAACATTCTTATATGCGGCGACAGTGAAGGTCTGTTTGCTCGAACAAAAAGTCATTCGTTTGATGGCCTCGTACTTTTCCAGGTACACTTAAAATTTGCGACTTTGGTCTCGCTGTCCAGAAGCAAAGCCTTTGGGACTGGGAAGAAGGCGACGGAGCGTATGTTGCCCCGGAGCTACTCATGGACCAGGAACCCGGCGCCGAGGCGGACATGTTTAGTTTTGGCGTGATGGTTTACGAATGGGCCACGGGAGAGCCTCTCCCCCGTCCAAACCCCGAGGTGGAGGTCCAGGTCACTTCTTTCCCCGGAAGAACAGCAGCTCTCACAGATCTCGTCCGAGCGCTGCTACGCTTGGAACCATCACGAAGGCCAACAGCAGGAGAGGTACTTCAGTGGCAAAGCCACAAGAAAGGAGAACGATTGCTGATATAACTTATAGCGCTGCTCTCGAGGTCAGTTTCTAGTTTCAAGTGCTCGCCATGGCTGATACACTTGTGTGAACTTTCTTTCAGTGCTCGCAAAAGCTTTCGAGAAGAGCAGCGAATATCTTTTGTAAGTTTCGAGTTTTTATCCATCGAGTGGTTCTCTCTCCTAGAGTGGTGCTACTGCCGCCTTACTTTGTTCGAATTCTTCCAGCAGTGGAGCGTGAAGCTCTTTGATCCGATCCACGCAGTAGTCGTAGAGAGCTCGCTGGTGATTCCGGTAGCAGCGGTAGCAGCGCGGATCATCCCTGGCTCGCTCCACCTGCTGGATCATCCTCTTGTAAATCACGTAACTCGAGTCGCTGGCGATCGATCGAGACGGAGGAGTCAGCTTCGCTTCAAAGAAGTCCTTCTCGCCGACTGGAAGCCGCGAGTACTCGAAGACGTGAGCCAGGCGATCCCGGTGGTGCCTCACGCCAATCTCTCGCGGATCGCCCACCTCGCGACGCATCAACATGCCCAGCTCGCCAGCTCGGTCCTGGAACACCGCCATCTCCGCCAAGACCAGCAGTCCATCGCCGAGATTGATAGCCCAGGCGGTGTCCTGGGACTTGGATCGAGCGTCGAAGAGCAGTACCTGGATCATCGTGTCGCGCAGCCGATCGCCCAAGAGCTCCTGGAAGACGAGATCTTTCCACTGGGAGAGGCCATCGCCATCGCCATCGCTGGAAGGATCGAGCTTGAGGTAGAGCCTGGAGCACGGGGCGGCGATGGTAGCGCGGGCGAGGGAGTGGTAGTGTAGCGGCGGAGGCGGTGGTGGCGTTGGCCGGGATTGATCGAGCGTCGCCGCTGAGGAAGAGGGCGATCGATCGAGCAGGGCAAGGGATTGGAGGAAGATCTTGGCGCGAGAGGAGCCACGGATGCGGCGGAAGAGAAGGAAGACCTTGGAGAGATGGAATGTGAGGTGTGTCTTGATCTCCGCCACGGCCGATGCCAGCGCCATGTCCGTGATGGGCTTGAAGAGCGCGCGATCGTCGAGGCGGAGGAGGGAATATAGCTCGCGCTGGAAATCCATGGGTACCTGGAAGTGATCGAAGAGGGACTGGAGCTTTGTGACGAGCTGCTCGGCTTCCTCGTCCCGGGCATTCTCCTCGGCCAATGTGAGGCCATAGCCCAGCTCCATGGCCTCCGCCGCCGCCAAATCGTCCTCTTCCTGGCGCCGCTCCTCCTCCTCCCAGGCGTCCGCGTCCTCCATGTCGAGATCCTCGGCCATTCTGCCAAGAGCCCTAATCTTGTGAAGAAATGAAATAGCAAATTCAGGAAATATGTTAGAATATTCGTAAAAATGAGGAAGACACAAGATCTAGTGCTCTCGGGAGAGCGCTTTAGTGACGCAAGCGTGTGCTCCAGCGCGACAGGCGCGACCTCGGAGCCCGGGCCAGGCGAGAGTAGCCAATCGCCGGAGAGCAGCCAGGTATCGTGCTCGACCCGGCGCGGCGGAATCGCCCCCTGGCTTGGCTGGAGTCGTCGCGGCGGAATCGCCCGCTGGCTTGGCGCAAGGGGCTGGAGTCGGCGCGGCGGAATCGCCCGCTGGAGCCGCAACACTGGCTCGAGTCGGCGCTGCGGAAGCAGGGGGCGTCCTGGCGAAGCCCGCGCAAGCTGCTCCGGCGGCAGCGCTGGCGGCGGGAGGCGCGGCGGAAGGGGGCGCGGCGGTAGAAGCAGGGAACTTTGTCCAAGCTGCTCTTGCAGCAGCGCTGGCGGCGGGAGGCAGCCCGGCGGAAGCAGGAGGCGGGGCGGTAGAAGCAGGGAGCTTTGCCCAAGCTGCTTCGGCGGCAGCGCTGGCGGCGGAAGGGGGCTTCGCGCAAGGCTCGGCGGCAGCACTGGCTGCTCAATCTCTGGCTACCCAAGCTATGGCCGCATGGGGGAAAGTAAACGCGACAATGCAGGTACTTGGATCTTCCGTCGCTTCTCTCCCCCACTTCTCTCCCCACTCAGCTCCTTTCTCTCGCTCAGGTCATAGCGATCGTCGCTGTCGGAATTCCACTGCAAGGACCTCCAGACTCCTTGGCAGCCATAGCAGCAGCGCAGTGGATTCCTTTGTCCACGTTCTTCTTCTGGCAGCCAGAATCAGTGACGGGATCGCAAGAGCCAAAGGCACCTGAGACCGGCCCAACATTAGGCGCAAGCTATGGGGGTAACACTCTGGAAGCTGTGGAAGACAGGGTTACCATTCCGGACGAGATCCCCTTTTCTCTGGACTCTTTCGAGCTTGATATCCCCCCCTCTCCTCCCCCGTCTCCTCTAGACTTCGACGAGTGTGACATTGATCTTTGGAGCTGACTAGGTTGCTTGAGCATTTCGAGTGGGGAGCGCTGGGTTCGAATGCTCATCTGCTATTACAGGCCTCGCGAGGTTTCATACATTGATGTAAACAACTGAATAGCATATAAATAGATAGAGCCAAGCCTATCGAGTCTCATCTGTGTTTTGCAAGCTCGCTAAACGTTCCAGCGTCAACGTGAGCGGACTTTTAATAGTGGGATAACGCTGGATAATCTTTTACGGGTTTGCCACAAGAAACTCACCAGCAAGGTATAGGCTTCTCGCTTCTCTGAATCACCAATGTGAGATGATTTCAGTTAGCAAGGCTGAAATTTAATTCGGCTATTTTGCAAGCTACTGAGGTTGAGCAATGAGGTAACAGGCATCCACATTCTCTCAGGTTTGCGCTAGAGGAGGATATTTATCTACCTATCTATCTCTGTTTCTAGTATCGAGAAGCATGGGATATTATGCAATGCAATTCAGTTTATTACTTTGTCAATTCTCCACCTCCTCCTCCCCTCCGCCCCACTCTCTGCTCTATCTCCTGGGATTCTTTCGCCTCAGTCTGGCGATGCTTGTGGAGAAGCATGTCGACAAAGGATGCGCTGCTCGTATCGAGGTCGCCACCAATTTCCTGCTTTCTTCTGCTGTGGATTGTTGTCCGTTCGTTGTTGTTACAACGTTGAGTTGCTTGTTTTTGGTAATTGGAGTATGGGACTGCGAGTTTGGTGTCGTCTGTTCTGTTGTTTCCTTTCGTTTTCCAGCCGTGCATTGTTTCATTGACAAGTTTTTGCCTCTGGACATCCATCTGTTCCAGGAACCTGGTTGTCTCCACCGCGTTCTCAGGTGTCCCAAGGATGTTAGCTACAGGCATATCTCATGGGATCTCGTAACTCATCGTATCCTGGGCATTCCTTGACCACATATGTTATTGTCTCAACACACATGCCACACACTGGGCAAAGTTACAGATGTCGCGGGATCTTTGTTGGTCTTGTTCTTCAACCTAGTTCCACGAGTAGTCAACCTGCAAGGAGTTTCTGTCCAGGGAGAGAGCTGATCGTAGAAAGCTGTTCCCACTTGTTCCTTTGGGTTGATCTCCTCCACATAGAGCTTGTAAATGGTGTGGTTCTTCTCGGCTTGGATCCATCTTATTAGCATGGTGTGTGTCCTGAATTCAAGATCTTCATGTAATCGTTCTGTGACGAGATTCAAATTGAGTCTTTTGGTCCACTGTTTCATGCTGCCACCAGCCGCCTGCCTGAGTTGCTGTGACTCCACAATGGCATGATCCGCAACTTCTCTATCTTCAGAAATGTGCTCTTTCGGATATAGATGATTGTGTGCTGCCATGTGAGTGTTTCCAGGGGAAAGAGGCCACTCTAATATGTATCACATTATGACTTGACAAATTGTTTATTTGGTCTTGTAGTAGTTCACCACAAGCATTATGTCATTTGCATATAGTAATAGGTTAGACAGTTGTTGCACCAGTAGCCACTCTAAGTCCATCAATGAACCGAAAAGCGTGGGAGACAACAGGCAAGGGGATGGGTACTTGTGCAGAAAGTGATGGCTTGTAGAGAGGAGGACGCACTTTCAACGCGGAAATCGGCAGCCAGAAATCAAGAAGACATGATTTTTAGAAATGGGGTTTTGAAGAATGCTTAAATGTGTATGGCAAGTAATATATAACACTACATCCCACATGATGTCTCCCAATGGGATTGCATGAATACCCAATGGATACCCATTTTCCTGATGGATGAATTCATGACAATGGATACACATTTTCCCGATGGATGAATTCATGAAGAAAGATGAATGTTCCCAACTGATTTTCACTAAGCAATGTGTCCGAGTGCTCTGTTGGTAAAATTGGAATCCACTAGAAGGTCTCACATAAGAACTTAAGTTGATCCTAGGTGATCCATGTATCTGTGGTACAGTTAATTCCAACCCAACAAACTAGAAAGCAAAGAATTTGTTATTGACACAAGTTGTGATAAGCCACCTTGGGAGGTGGAAAAAAATGCTTCTTGACAGGAAATATTTGCTTTATACTTCCCAAGAGGAACATGTGCCTCCTGATAGGAAAATTTGGCATTTTCTTTCCCACTTAAGAAACTTCAAAGCATGTTTCTCTCAAAAAAACAAATTTAGGATTTCATTCTAGGGTTCAATCCATTCTTTACCATGTATGTTCAAAGCTGCAAAAAGAAGCTGTTTTTTACTTTCCATTTTCCACTAAGGTAGCATTATGTAAGGGATTAAATTTTCCATTCTACTTTAGTCACTTAACCACACCTCCGACCACTTGGAGGAGTCTCATTCACAACCTCCATAAGTCCAATCCAGGCCTTGGGACTTGCTAGCCCCGAGAGTGGCATCCATGCCACTCAACATGTGCACTTGGTCCAAGTGCTCCACGTGTCCGATCCCATGACCGACACTCAAAGGTACCACCGACATAGCAGCCCATTACGCTAAGGCCATGCCCAATCACCTTTGCCACACTGGTAGTCCAATACCACTTGCATCACAGTCTTGGCTCTCCAAGACTAAGCACACCATCCGTGAGTGGTCATCTCAGATCCACTCCTTAGCATCCTTAGGATGCCCACCAACAAGGGGAATAGCCTTCCCCAATATCCCTCTGTCAGTCCCCACTAAGTCCCTTTCTGCCCCTGGCCGTGTTTGCCAACACTGCCCCTGGATCGAGACCCACAGGCCCGACCACTAAGTCCCATGGTCCTCTGGGACTTCCTCACCACACGACTGTGTCCTTGGTCACTACCCCAGAGGACTGCTCCTCTTCCTTTCCACAGTCTGGGCCTTTGGGACAACATTTCGGAACACCGTGGCCTTACGCGAGCCACCTGGGTACTCTCCTCGTCTTCTGCCCTTGGGTGCTCTAGCCATGGGCTTAGAGCAAGGTTCCGTTGAGCCACGCCTGGTATCCAAGTAGGTAGTGCCACCCACACTTGGACTGGGAGCATCGGCCAGTCGATCTCCCGGGGGAACTAGAGCCGGCTCTTGAACACTTCACTAAGCTACCCCGCTTGTCGGTCCGTGTTCACTCTAGTCTTGGACTTCCCAATGGTCAGTTCATCACCCAACACTAGGTATGGCCTTCCTGGACCAAACTAGTCCTTCCTGGGCCAAACTGGCCCTTCCTGGCCAAACTGGCTCCACTGGGCTCCAACCCCCACACTCTCCCTACTATACTTTTGGAACCCCCCGCAGCCCCCCCCCCCCCCCCCCCCCTGGGGGATGATCTCTTTGGGCTTTCACCCAACTGCCTGTATTAGTATTCGGACTCGGACTCGGGCTCGAACTCGGACTCGGTCTCGGTCCCGGTTTCGGACTCGAACTCGGTCTCGGTCTCGGCTTTGGCCTCGGTCTCGGTCTCGGTCTCGGGTCCATCTCGGACTCCATCTCGGATCCATCTCGGACTCCATCTCGGACTCCATCTCGGGTCCATCTCGAACTCCATCTCGGACTCCATCTCGGGTCCATCTCGGACTCCATCTCGGACTCGATCTCGGACTCCATCTCGGACTCCATATCGGACTCCGTCTCGGTCCATCTCGGACTCCATCTCGGGTCCATCTCGGACTCGATCTCGGACTCCATCTCGGGTCCATCTCGGACTCCATCTCGGGTCCATCTCGGACTCCATCTCGGGTCCATCTCGGACTCCATCTCGGACTCCATCTCGGACTCCATATCGGACTCCGTCTCGGTCCATCTCGGACTCCATCTCGGGTCCCCTTTTGGAGCCTCGCTTATTGCTCGTTTCGTGCTCATTCCTCGAGCCCTTCGTTAAGAGTTCCACTCCCGCTCTCGACCTTTCAAGGCGGAGCTTTTGGCCCAAACGTGTTACACTTGTTTGGCTTTCACTTCGGCCACTACCACGTGGCACCCTTCCGGCTCCACTTTGGGGCCTAGGGATTTTGTGTCTCACACATTAGCACTAGTTTTTTACCGTGAGATGCTATACATCATTTACAATTCTTGTTGGAAGTAAATATTTTGGTGTGGCATTGTAAATGGCCACATTTGACACTAGATTATAATTTGGGTTGCACTTAGATGAATTTCAAAGAAGGAGGATGAAATATGCCCTTTTCTTTCTTTCTTTTTTCTAGAATTCCTTCTCTTTTTTTTTCGAAGCATGTGTAATATGCAACTAATCTAGTGATTACACATTAATCCAAGGGAGACAAATCAATCAGCCACCTCAAGTCTCATAGGTAGAGGTAAGTTTTGTGATAATTCACAATAAATCATAGTAGATTGTAGATGCTAATATGTTTTTGATAGTTTTTCTATGATGACTATAACGCAATATAAGTGGATTGTTGCCGGTGATACAAAGAGCAGGAAGAGGAAGATTGAATCAATTGATGATATTATTTGAGACAAACTTCTTTGTATTTTGAGGATTAGTTTGATTTTTAAATTTTAATTTTTCTTTTGTGGTAGGAAACTAAGTAAGCAATTAGTGTTTTCACTGATAGGAAAGGTATATCAATTGTTTGAACAAATAAGGATTGAAAACTATTCTTTCTATATATTTTACAACTTCTATAGTATATCATTTTGCCAGATATGAGGACCTAATAGTTCTCATGTCTACATTGTCAAACGTATAAAAGTAGACTGTGAAGGAAGCTCGAGACACTCAATGGCCAATCCAGTAATTTACTCTTATGAATGTATTATCAAAGAGTTGGGGTAGAATGAGAGAAACAATATTTAATGCAAACAATGTCTATGATTTAGTTGAGGATAATGATTTTGAAGAACATTTAGGCCCATTATGAAAAAAGTCTTTTCCAATCTCAATTAAAGGAAGTAATAGCAAACTTGTAAATGCAATTAGGTTTACTGTTGTTACATCTAGGTGAGAATATAATTCTCACTTTTTATCTTACTTTTTATAATGTGTTGTCTTTATAGGTGTATAGTAAGTGCTCTTATGACTTTGAGGTGACTCAGGCATTAATGAAAAAATTCAACACTTAAGTTGTCCATAAGTGGGAGGTTGATTATGAAATTTTGAGAGCACATATCACCATTTTTGTTAATTGTAATATAGAGTGACTTTTGGAAGTGGTGGGAGGACACATAATAGACTTACAACAATAG